TTCCTTAGTAGATAATTTTGATGGGAGTAACTCTTCTAATTACTTATTCTAGAACTCTGCTCTCGCCTATAAATAGATAGGACCTAAAGGCACTGGAAAAAAAAAAAAAAAAAAAAAAAAAAAAAAAAAAAAAGGGAGAAGGATCTAGTTCTAATTCTCTTACAGATTCGCAATGATCTTGGATCTAAAGACGGTACCCTTACATATCATAACAAAGATCTCTTTTTCAGATGACATCGAAAGGTACGTATTGTAAAACTAGATCTAATTATATTTGATTTCAATCCTAGCATAAAAATTTTTGGCAACCCAACAAAGATAATAAAGCGAAAAGATAAAAGCGACAAAACACCAGATTTACGTGGTTCGGTCAATTAACTTTGACCTATATCCACGGACGAAAGAGGAACAAATCACTACTATAAAAGAGACTATTATAAATGCCTTAGGAAGATGTTCCTAGGCCATAAACACCCGTAAATACTAAACAAGAAAAGTCTAAAGCAGACAATTAGGTTTTCTTGTGGTGCATCTTGTGGTGCATCTGACTTCAAAGCTCAAACCCTTATTTATAGTTCCAATAGGAGATAACAAGTCTGATTTTTCCGATGTGGAACTATAGGACTTACCAAACTAACAGAAACCACAATGCCAGGTAGCATCAAACTGATCTCGATAGAGAAGACAAATGATGAAAGCAAATAATTCTCACCGATGGTGGGTATGGTGGTGACGATCTCCCCGAGCTTGAGCTTGTATAAGATGGTCGTCTTACCGGCGACATCAAGCCCCACCATCAGGATCCGCATCTCATTCTTCGCAAAGAGGCGGCTGAATAGCTTCGCGAAACTAAGCCCCATTCTTCCCGATCTGATAGACCCATATGAAACGAAGAACAAGATCTAAAGTTGCACGTATATAAGATGTCACAAAAGAGATACGTAAGATCACAGATCTACATCAGAGAAAGGCAGAACTCAAAGATCAACGAACATGGAGGAGATCAGACCGGAGAGAGACTAAATAGGCTATGGATCTAAGATCTCCAGACCAAAGTGATTGAGATGATCGATGAGGAAGAAGAGATGAATCTTTACATCAAAGATCCAAAAACAAACGCTTAAAAGAACGGATGAAGGATGCCGGAAAGCAGGGAAGGAAAAGGACCTTGATATCCACAAAGAGTCGCCATGTCTTCTTCTTCCTCTTCCTCTTCCTCTTTCTCTCGTACTTGTTCGTCCGCGGAAGGAGGCTGGAGAGGGGAAGGCAGGCGCGCTATTTATGCGGGAAGCGGGTGATTTGGTAATAAAAATGAAAATTGAATGTCATAAATGCCCTCGACAAATTATGTTTTCTCCTTTATGTCCAACACCAAAAATGGCTTTTTACCTAACATATTATACATGAAAAAATTATGTGCTTGCAATCCTTCCTTTTCTCTAATTATTATCAGCTTAACTCAATCTAATCTATTAGTATATTTGGGATGAATAATTATTTTTAAGGGGATAAATGCATTTACGTTCATAGATTTGTATACATGGGAAAAAGAACCATACAAATATTTTAATAGTGTGATAAATCAATTCTAAATTTAATATATTGCTTACCTAAGTCATTTATGAACGGCTGGCACCCGAATTTAATTTGATAGAGAAGGAAAATTGAGTTATTTTTTATAAGGTTGCATAACTCAGGTACTATTAACTTGGGTTTAAGTGTTTTGGGGTTCTTAGTTTTCCATGTATCATATTAATAAATCAGTTCTCTTAGAGTTTGATTAATAAATAATATTAGATTTAAGTCTAATATTAAACTGTAAAGTTTTAACCATTAAGATACCTTCAAATATATCGGATAAGATTTCAAACCATCTTGGATAATAAAGTCTAGTACATCTTTACAAGATCCATATTTAAGGTATAAAAAATGTGTAATGAGACCTTAAATCTTCGATCTTTAATATATAAGTCTAGTACACCATCGTCGAACTAACGTTTTTAAGATGTAAAGAATATATTGATAAGATTTTGAACCCTCAACTTTTTAAATTTTTATTCATATAGAAATATTTTGTAAATATCTCTTACATCAAAAGATTAAGTTAAATTATGATTAGATCTATTTTCTTTCACGTAACCACGATCAACATCAAAATCTTTTTTTTTTTACATATTATTTTTTATAAATTTTGATTTTTACATCATATAAATGATTTTTCTTTCCTCGAAAGAAAAAAATATAAAAGGTAAAGAGAGAGCAGAATCGTGAAAACTGAGTTTAAGAGTGAGAAAAAGAGAGAGAGAGAAATAATTTGTATCATCTAGAATCATGGATCATTCCATCAACAATCTTAATTACTTTTCGATCATCATCTCTTGATCTAAGATCATCACTTAGTATAAAAAGTTAATACACGTTTGTATCATGGACTTATAAGTCCTAGATCAGCATCTTTCAATTCTAAATTCAATCAGTTCCGGATATATGTCAACATGCATATGTTACATTAGATGGACGTCAACACATGAAGAATTTTGAAATAGCAAAGAGGACAAAAGTCTGCCTATTGTTCATGAAACAGTGTGGTTTGGTATAGAGGGTTACATCAAATACGAAGATATATCATATCTAATAGAATATCATAGATAATTTTATTTTACTGATATTATGGAAGATTATATTTATCCCATATATATATCTTTGCCATGTACAATACATACATTAGTCATTTCTATAAGTTTTATCTCTTATTATTGATTTTGGTGTCTATACTTATAAAATAAATAAGTAAATAACAATTTTCATATTCTATTTTTTTATTCCTCTCAATCATGGGAGCTAAAACAAGAAACAAGAGAGGTTATTCTAGTCAATACGCCCAACCACAAATATATTTATTTGGTACCTATAATAAAATGAAACTAATCCAAATTAATCACATATAATAATAGAAGGGAGTAATGTAGCATAATTACACATATCCCTTCCAAACTTAAAATACTTTCATATATGTTATTATTAATCATCTCAATCAGTCACACTATATGATTTACTTTAGAGAGAAGAATTAATTGACGAGAAACAATATTGTTTAGAGAAAGAAATAACTTTATAGAGAGAAAATTATAATATGATCGTTTAAAGAGAGAAATAGTGTTATAGAGAGAAAATAAAACTCTTAGAGAGAGAAACAAAGTTATAGAGGTAGAAACAATGCTACAAAAAGGAAAAAAATAATAGAGAGAATACAAGGAGATAATCTATGGAGAAAAATTCTAAGGAGAGAGTATCTATGGTGAGAAAAATCTAAGAATAGGGAAAGTATAGAGAGAAAATTATAGAACAGCATTCATTGACAAGCAGATTTGATTGTGACAACCATTAGATAAGAGAAAACACCAAAATAAAAAAAACAATAGATTGAGAAAGATGATTGACAGAAGAGATCACTACAATATCAATTAATTGATATATAAAGATTAATAGATTGAAAGTTTGATCACATTCGAAGAGAAAATTGAAGGTATGAATGATAACTTTTATAGTTTATTTTGGATCTTGTTATTACCTATATTGAATGAAAAAATTACCAGAGATAAAAATTATGATAATTTTTTTTCTCAATTTGAAAGATTTAAAAATAATAATCTTGTATGGTTTTAGAAATGTAATAGATAATAGAGATTCTGAGTTACTCTCCGGAGAACAGAAATAAAAACTATTTTTTTAATAAAAATGCATGGATGCTTATTTTTCAATCAATATCAAATGAAAGTATTATTTTATGGATTCTAAGTCAAAACAAAAAAAAGATGTCTAGTTGATCTTAGAAGATAATTTATGAAAAAAAATATATATCTTTTAATATTATCTATAAATAAATAAAAAAATGCATGATGCAAAATATAAAAAAAACTAAATATCATTTATCAAGTAAGAATGAAAAGGTATCTCATCAAGTGTGATAGATTTTCTTAAGATTAAAGATAATGAGATCGTGTAAAAATAAGATTTAGAGTAGGATGTTGATGGTATTGATTTTATTGGAGCAGATGATTTTATTTTCATTATAAACATAAAAATATTATTACCTCCTTATACGGAAGAAGAATTTACAAAGTTAGCAACCAAATATTCAGAAGAAGACATTTAAGATATAGATGTCATGAAGTCTGACGAATATTTTATAATAGGAAGGTCAGATATATGTACATATGATTATATTAATCAGATTAATTTCATATTTAGATATTAGTTCAAAAAATCTAATAAGATTAATTTTAAATAAATCATAATTTTATAATTAATCAAGACAAATAAAATAGATCGAGCACATGAATAGTTATTATAAGCAATTGATAAAAATAAAATATTTTTTATTTTTGAAAATTTAAATAATAATTGTCTTGTTAATTTAACGGTGGGTTGATTTTTTTTTTTAATTTCGGCTAAATTTGATACTTCTATGAATTGTTTTTAACATTTGGACTTATTAATTGGTTTGTAAGGTATTTATAAAATGTTATTAAAAATCAAATACTAGGTTACAATTTCTTTGGACTATTTAAAAATAGTATAAATTAGTCTAAATCTAATCAAAACAAGCCTAAAATTTCAGCAAACTTTTGAATTGGTCCACAGTGGATAAAAATTATATAATTTTTGAGAAATTAAACGATATTTTTTTGGTATTTTTAAACAATTTTTTTAGGGTCAAAATCTGTAAAACATATATTTTAAGGCTTAAAAATAAAAATAATGGTCATATAGATCTTTTAAATTTATTTTAAATATTTTTAAACTGCTAAAAAAAATTACATTTTATTTTTATCGTTAAAATACATAAATATTATTATTAAATTATTTTTTTACTTTATCATTTTTTATTTTTATTATTTTTATAATTTAAAATATATATATTATTTTTAATTATAAATTGATATATATCAAAAAATTATTTAATATTATTGAAGGTTTGAAACCTCCACTAATATATTTTTATCACCTTAAGCATTGGTTTGGGGGTAGTATACCAAACTAATTTACTAAAATTTGAGGGTCGGAAGTTTCATCCCATATATTTTTACATCTTAGATATTGGTTTGGTGATGATGTACCAAATTAACATACCAAACGTTGATGGTTTAAAATATCATCTGACATATTTTTTTTTATCTTAAATACTAAATTGGTGGTGGTATACCATATTCTCTTGCCAAGGATTTGAAATCATTAACATATTTTATACTTTAAAAATTAATTGTTGGCAAGTAGTCATGTAACAAACCCTCTTATCAATGGTTGGGGATTCAAAACTTTAACTAACATATTTTAAAAGGTGCAAACTGACTTAGTTGATAAATATGTACATATTATGAAAAGTGCAAACTTAGTTGATAAAGATTTTGATAGTTTATCGTAAGGGCTTGAAATCGAATCCCGTAATCAATCAGGTCTTGGATTAGTTTAATCAATTTAATTGAGTGATTTGGTTTAACTTACATGAGGGAGAGAGAGAGAATTTTTTTTTTTAAACAAGAAAAGACAAAAATAGATTGACCTTAGTTTTATCATTTTAAAAATTTAGGGCCCTTTGTGAGAATTTTTGGAAAAGGAATCTCTAATTGAAAATTTCACAAAATAAAAAACTTTTATAATAAGTTTGCCCTTAAATAATATAATATTATATCTATTGTAATAAATTTTTTATAATATAATATTTTTAATGTTAATTTTTATTTTATTTTTGGTAAATAAATAAATAAATTATATATTAAATTTTGTTTATTTTGGATCAGTCTAATGCTCGCTTAAACTAGTCCAATGTATTGGTTCATTTGTATTGGGTTCAAAAGGGACGTAAAAGAAAAAAAAAGATAAAAGAATTATTGACGGCATTTTGTAGGAGGCAAAAAAAAAATAGGGATGTTATATAGGAAAAAAGAAAAAAAAACAAAAGAGGGTACTCTATGGCAAAATGCTAAAAAGAGAGGTTATTATAGGCAATTCGCCCAACTACAAACATATTTGAAACCTAAATCTTATCTAATTTAACCTTTTAAAACTAATTATACGATAAATGTAATAATAAAATGAAAGTAATCCAAATTCATCACATATATAAGTGAATAGTAGCATAATCACACATAGATCCTTTCAAAACTCGAAATACTTTCATATATGTTATTATTAATCATCTCAATCAGTTAGACTATATGATTTACTTG